AAAAAAAGTTATCGTGCAATTAATTGATTTATTGTCTATCGCGACAGGCCTAATAATAATTTATAAACACTATATGAAAACAGAACAGGTACTGGCATCAGCTCTCATACTGTGAGAATCTATTTGTCTAAAGATAAATACTTCAGAGTGAAAAATGGAAATACAACATTTCAGAATATTAAAACTTGCAGAAAAATCACCCACAACCCCCAAAAGAACCTTACAGGAACCTCTCTGACCGCACCATTCATGTCCAGAGCCCCCAGGTCTCACCTGACAGGTTGATATCTGTGAGCGAGTCTCTGGTGGTTGTTCCTTTTGCCGTCAGCAGGTTGACTGACTGGTCGTTGATGTGGTTGCAGTAGCTCAGGTCCAGCCGCGACAGCAAAGGCATCTGTCGACTGATGAGACGCAAGGACGTGTCGGTGATGTCCAGTCCCGCCAGCCGCAGGTCCTCCACGTTCCTCAACTTGCAGCGGTTATCCAGCTGACCTGTTGGTTGGTCACAACAGTTTGGTCAGATCAGTTTGTGTCAAGATACAAAAAACTATTTAATTAATAATTCAGATAAAAGGTTATGTCAGTTTAAGGGAACTAAATTTATTTAGATGAATCAGCCAGGTGAACCTTGGAAAACCCAAAAATGGAATCACTGTCTGTTTTACAAGTAATGAACTAAAATTTAGCATGGTAGTATCTGAGCAGCATCCTCAATACATACTTTAGGTTCTTCCCTTCTGCAGAGGTCGCTACAAACTTTTGCACATTAGATTTGGAAATTATTTTAATCTGGATGCTCCTCGTAACGCAACGTGGACTCAAACCTTCAGCTTCAGGATTACAATACAGCAGCACTGACCACCGTATTATCATGGTCCTCAGCTGTGTCTGCTTGTAAGCAGGGCTGGCCCATGGCATAAGCAGTAAAGGCAAATGCAAAGGGTGCTGTCCATTTAGGGGGTGCCGCAAAAAATATATATATGTATTTTTTTTTCTCCTGTCACCCATTTGCGGATATATATATATATATATATAAATATATAAACTTTTTATCATAGCTGATAAAAGTTTAGTGGTTTACTGGTTGCACAAATTTATGAAGGTGAACTTGTTCTGTAGGTTTCTCAGCTACTTTGTTACTACATGAGGTATATGGTGCAGAGGGTATTTCATGATAAAAGTATCATATCGTTAGCCTCATAGCATAATTAACCAAGACATATTTAGTCACAAATGACTTAGGCCTATATGCTATGAGGCTAACGAAATGATCGACTGGTGCTCAACAGAGCAAAAAGTAAACTTAAACAAAAGAAGGATGATGGAAATTTCAGTTACAATCATAAAGTTCAGGTTAAAGTCTTGTTTTCAGCGTTGCACCTTCATAAAATACTGGGTTTATGTTGTTTTATTAATCCAAGAATTGTTAAATTTTCCTCAAATAGCTGCAAAATGTAGAGTTTTGAGTAAAACTTTCCTGGGAAAGTATAACTATGGACCCTCTACAACTGCTTCACTCCACAGCTGCTGTTTAATATGAACAGGTGTTCCTCATTGCTGTCTGCAGGTGTTTGCAGGTATTCTGTTTCAAATGAATTATACTGTTTACTATTTTAACTGAACACTTGATTTCTAAACATAAAATAATATCAAAGGCAAAACTATTTAATTTAGTATGTAAATACTAAATATTTAAATTAAGATGTAAATTGGAAGTAGGCCTGTCGCGATAGTCAATAAATCAATTAATCGCACGATAACTTTTTTTGAGGTCGGTAAAAAAAA